AAAAGATTGGATTTATAAAGATACTGATAATAAAAGGGAATAATAATGAAAACTAAAAAAAAAAAAAAGAGAGATATTCGACTTCCATCAAAAACGACTTAACAAAAGAGTCGTCGGAACCGAACCGCATAGTAAGTTGAGGACTACCTGTATACACCATCATTTTATGAATAACCCTACAATGAATGATTGCATTGTTTAAGATAACTTAGTAATAAGTTTAAGATAATGTAGTGATAACTTAGTGGTATTCATATGTAGAACCTGCCCCTTATAAACATGAGAAACCCTCTTTCCAAATGTATTAAACATGGAAACCTATGTGGGAATCATTATCATCATCATCGTCCCTTGTTCTGTGACTTACTATGTGCCAGATACTGTCGTAAGATCTTTACATATATTAGCTCTTTTAATACTCATTACAACGCTATGAAGTGGGAACCATCCATTTTATGGATGAGAAGTTAAGTAACGCGCCCAAAGCCACACAGCTATTATGAGAAAGGATCTGAACCTGAGTAATTTGATTTTACAGTCTGTGAATCTTGTGTTAGGTACATTATTGTGGGAACCCAATCAGGGTCAGTTTAGTCTCTTCTAAAGAGTTACTTTCCTTGCTTTCACTTTAACCTCAATGAACTTTTTTCCATAAATACATTGGAACAAGAAAAAGAAGTTATATCTAGTCCAAAACTATTTAGAGATATTAAGACAACAGTGAAACTCTCATTTTGTCTGAAACCACTTTACTTATGATCAGTACTCTATTCTACTTGTAAAAGTATAATTTTTCCTCACACATATATTATACACAGCTAATTAAACAAATATTTTCATTACATTTGAAAATCCTGAGAACGTATTTTCTTCATACAATCTACACCATACGCAGTTAACTCCTGGCAGAATACCCTTTAGCATTATTCTTTGAAAGTGAAAATATTTTCCTCTAATGAAAATATGTGAACTTGGTTTATGTAAAATTAAGGCTACGAAAATTATTTCACATGGTTTCAGACACTAGCTTTTTCAGTATTTTTATTCATCCTCAAAAATTGTCAGAGCACTACATAACACAAAATGATATTCTGTTTCTGTGGAGAATACCGAACTGAAATATAAACTCCTATGAAGGGTTATTGTGATTGATAGCACTGTCTCTGATACCAAGCTGCCTAGGTTAAAGTCTGGCTTTGCCCCTCGGTGAATGTGTGGTCTTGAGGAAGCTACTTAACTTGTTTGTGTCTCAGTCTTCTTGTCTGTTAGAAGGAGATGATAATAGTACATACCTCAGGAGGCAAAATACAGAGGGATATATTTTAAACATTGCTGGTCGTGTTGAGAGACCATCTCAAGAACAGATTTGATGCATTGAACACTAATGACTGAAGACCAGATGAGCTGTGGAATGACATCAAGTACGTCACACATGAAGAAAGTAAGAGGTCATTAAAAAGACAGGAAAGAAAGAAAAGACCAAAATGGATGTCAGAAGAGACTCTGAAACTTGCTCTTGAACGTCGAGTAGCTAAAGCAAAAGGAAGAAATGATGAAGTAAAAGAACTGAACAGAAGATTTCAAAGGGTGGCTCTAGAAGACAAAGTAAAGTATTATAATGACATGTGCAAAGGGCTGGAGATAGAAAACCAAAAGGGAAGAAAACACTTGCCATTTCTCAAGCTAAAAGAACTGAAGAAAAAATTCAAGCCTCGAGTTGCACCAGGGAAGGATTCTATGGGGAAAATATTAAACGATGCAGGAAGCATCAAAAGATGGAAGGAATACACAGAGTAATTATCCCAAAAAGAACTGGTTGATGTTCAACCATTTCAGGAGGTACCATGTGAGCAGGAACCAATAGTACTGAAGGAAGAAGTTCAATCTACACTGAAGGTACTGGCGAAAAACAAGGCTCCAGGAATTGACGGAGTATCAACTGAGATGTTTCAACAAATACATGCAGTGCTGGAAGCGTTCACTCGTCTATGCCAAGAAATTTGGAAGACAGCTACCTGGCAAACTGACTGGAAGACTTCCATATTTATGCCTATTTCCAAGAAAGGTGATTCAACCGAATGCGGAAATTATCAAACAATATCATTAATATCACAGACAAGTAAAATTTTGCTGAAGATTATTCAAAAGCGGCTGCAGCAGTATATCCACAGGGAACTGTCAGAAATTCAGACTGGATTCAGAAGAGGATGTGGAATCAGGGTAGCATTGTTGATGTCAGACGGATCCTGTCTGAAAGCAGAGAATGCCAGAAAGATGTTTACCTGTGTTTTATTGACTATGCAAAGGCATTCGACTGGGTGGATCATAACAAATTATGGATAATATTGCAAAGAATGGGAATTCCGGAACACTTAATTATGCTCATGAGGAACCTGTACATAGATCAAGAGGCAGTTTTTCAAATAAAACAAGGAGATACTGAGTGGTTTAAAGTCAGGAAAGGTGTGCATCAGGGTTGCATCTTTTCATCATACCTATTCAATCTGTATGCTGAGCAAATAATCTGAGAAGCTGGACTATATGAAGAAGAATGGGGCATCAGGATTGGAGGAAGACTCATTAACAACCTGCTTTATGCAGGTGACACAACCTTGCTTGCTGAAAGTGAAGAGGATTTGAAGTACTTACTGATGAAGATCAAAGACCACAGCCTTCAGTACAGATTATGCTTCAACATAAAGAAAACAAAAACCCTCACAACTTGACCAATAAGCAACATCAGGATAAATGGAGAAAAGGTTGAAGTTGTTAAGGATTTCATTTCACTTGGATCCACAAGCAACACCCATGGAAGCAGCAGTCAAGAAATCAAACTACGCATTGCATTGGGCAAATCTGCTGCAAAAGACCTCTTTAAACTGTTGAAAAGCAAAGATGTCACCTTGAAGACTAAGGTGCACCTGACCCAAGCCATGATATTTTCAATCGCCTCATATGCATGCGAAAGCTGGACAATGAATAAGGAAGACCAAAGAATTGATGCCTTTGAATTGTGATGCTGGCAAAGAATATTGAATATACCATGGACTGCCAAAACAATGAACAAATTTGTCTTGGAAGAAGTACAACTAGAATGTTCCTTAGAAGCAAGGATGGTGAGACTATGTCTTACATACTTTGGACATGTTATCAGGAGGGATCAGTCCCTGGAGAAGGACATCATGCTTAGTAAAATAGAGGGTCAGTGTAAAAGAAGAAGACACTCAACAAGATGGATTAACACAGTGGCTGCAACAATGGGCTCAAGCGTAACGATTGCGAGCATGGTGCAGGACCAGGCGGTGTTTAGTTCTGTAGTACATAGGGTAGCTATGAGTCGGAACTGACTCGATGGCACCTAACAACGACAACAACAAGAAGTCGTACTTCCCATTTCCCTTATATTAAATTAGGTTCCTGGGTGGTTGGAATGGTTTGACCTCGAGCTTGGTGGTACAAATCTATCCAGCAGCACTGTGGATGAAAGGACTGGCAATCTGACTCTGTAAAGATTATAGCCAAGAAAACCCTATGGAGCAGTTCTACTCTGTAACTCTGTACACCTTGATTCGGTATAGACTAGAAGGCAATGGGTATTGTTTTTTGTTTTATGTTAAATTAATGGAAAAAGTAAGGGATTGAGAAGAAATCTTTGGAAGTATAAGATCAGATATGACCCTCTTTGGATGTGTGCAGTGATTTGCCCAAGGGCACCGTGGTGCTTGACATTGAGAACTTGTTTCTCCCCAGTCTCCCTCCCTGCTGCCACTTCACCCTCCCTGCCACATCAGCAATCAGGGGCATCAGATTTTAGGCGCTGGATACATGCTGCCATATGGTTTTAATCAGAGAAATCTCAAAATAGTAAATGAAGAGAGTATATATTGTGGGGTGTACCTAGGTGGAGATCTGTGATAGGGACTGGACTGCAGCAGAAGCCATATGAATTTATCTGGGGAAGCCAGAGGAATCACTTCCAAGATTGAAGTGAGCATTTGTTACGTTAAATGTGTTCACTCTCCAAATGTTCATCCAGCTCCTCTTATGACCCAGGTACTGTGCTAGACACCGAGGATATACAAATAAAACAGCCTCTGCTGTCAAAGAGCTTGCATTCAAACGGAAAAGGCAGGAACGCAAACAGATAAGAGTATGCAGTGAGCAATGGTGCAAGGTGCAAAGGTGGAATCCAGGAAGAAGTGACCATCTCTGCCTGGGCGGGTCAGGGACGAATTTCTGGCTTTGGACACACATTCAAACATTCAAAACAGAGTTCAGCATTTATCCACAGGCACAATTTGAACAACCATCTCAAACTGCTTGAAGCTCAAATATCATACTGTTGAAAAGCAGACCACTACCCGACATGTAGAAAGAAAGGCCTGGCAATCTACTTCCAAAACTCAGCCAGTGAAAACCTTATGGATCACAGCATGGGGTAGGGAGCCCACTGAAAGGCAGCTAACGATAACAACAACATCCGACCTGTGGGGTCAAATATTCAGTGGCAGATAAAAATGTAAGTTGAAACACTGAGAAGAAAAACATTTGTTGTGAGAGGGTCACGTAAGCGGGAAATGAAGCTGTGGGGAAATGCAAGGCCCTCGTTCCCTCCTTTCAGGGCGCGCTGGGTGGCAGCCCGGGACCACGGGTGCGGTGGCCCTCTCGCCCCTGCGCGGGCTCCGAGGTTCAGCCTCGGCGTGCGCTCAAGGCCGGGTTAAGCTCAGCTACCCAGGGTGTAATCTGAACCCGCACTATTTACCAGCCAGCCCCGCCTCTGCCAGCGCGCTCGCGGCCGGCCAGGCAGGTCAGGACGGGCGGGCTCTGAGTCACTGGAATCTAGGTGGGGCCCGGGGACCGCGCCCGGCGCCCCCGCACGCGGCCCCGAGCGTCCTCGCGGGAGCCGCCTCCCCGCGCCCTTGTCCCTTTTGTCGGGGTGTCCGCGCTCGCCGGCCACTCTTCGCGGCGCCTGTCCCCCGCGCTCCTCTCCTCCGCGTCGAGATGCTGCGCTGCGGCCTGGCCTGCGAGCGCTGCAGGTGGATCCTGCCGCTGCTCCTGCTCAGCGCCATCGCCTTCGATATCATCGCGCTGACCGGCCGCGGCTGGTTGCAGTCGAACGATGGAAGCCAGGCGTCCTCGCTGTGGTGGAGTTGCCCCCACGAGGGCGGCGGCACCGGGTCCGCCGCGGAAGGCTGCATTAGCCTTATGAACTACGGTGAGTGTGCCTGACCGCGCCAGGAAGCCTTGGCGCGGACGCCCGAGAGCGCAGGAAGCGCCCGCTGTTCATGGACGTGACAGGGCCTGGCTTAATTAATGGGTGCTTTAAAAAAAAAAAAAGTATATATATGTATTTTTTATTAATATATATGTATATATGTGTATTTTTTATTAATATATATGTGTATATATATAAATTAATGGGTGCTTAAAAAATATATGTGTATGTTTAGAGCAGCCCCAATTTTGAGTGGCTCAATCTAGGCTCAAAACTGGAAGAAAATGGCCCTAGTTCAAACCACGTATTTTGGTATGGTTTGTCTGTCAAATTCAAATGCAAAAGATCTCAGCCACTGAAAAGGTTTAGATGAATAAATATAATAAAGCGTGTTTTTTTTGAAAACCTGCTGAAATTTCTTCCCATTCCCTTTTCTCCTTCTCTGGTTGTTCTTATGATTAAAATATCTTTGTAAAAATAGGTGCCTTCCCTAATATGGGTATTTTCCTTTTAACGTGAATCAAGTGAAAGAAACCGTTCTTCTATTAAAAAACGCCGGTTCAGTTAAAGTGTTAGCAGTTATGATTTCAGTAGATACTCTAGTATTTCACACCTCAGGCTCGTTCCTGTTAGCACTTGTTTTATGGGGTGCCCTTTTGGTTTATGTATGGCATTACTGTTTAGAAAATAAAAAGTATTTATTTTAATCTGATGTGAAATATAAAATACAAGCATATCTTATTCGAATGAAACAGTGTTGACTAATTTAAGATATTGCAGATGGATATTCTGTTTTTCTAGCATGGAGGTAGCCTCAGAGCTTGACTGATACTTATTAATAGACATGACTGAGAGGGGCCTGTTCTTGTCTGAAAAGGCATTTTTCTTTCACATGGGCTATCGCTCCCTGCTTTGGGGTTGATATGGAGAAAGGCTTCTGTCTTACCGTGATTAACAATGTGTCTTGGGTGGGAAGGGGATTTAGGTGTATGCGTAATCGAAAGCTTGAAAGCCAAATACTACTGAATTGGGCTTTACCAACTGGATTTAATAGGATTAAACAGCAAAAGAAGGAGCCCTGGTGGTGAAAGTAGTTAGCACATGACTGCTAACCTAAAGGTTGGCGGTTCAAACCTACCCAGTGGCTCCTGGGGAGGAAGACCTGGTGATTTGCTTCTGTAAGGTTTACAGCCAGGTAACCCTATGGGGCAGTTCAGCTCTGTCACATGGAGTCGCAAGGAGTTGAAACTGGCAACATACAAAAGGCTGCCCTGCCTTTTTCCATTTCCTGCTATGACTGTTGACTTGATTCCTTCCCACAAGCCCACCCAGAGCTTCCGACCAAACTGTGTTTATTTGTGGATCTGGGGCCCTGTACCAGTGGCCTGGGCTCTATCTTATCTACTGTGGAATTGTTTGAAGTGCTTACGACGAAGTTTCCCCCAAAAGGAGGCCTGGTGCTCATTCGGCAGGTAATAAGATGCCAAGGACTGCACGGAATCCAGCTTTCCTGAAAGTTTGTTTCTCCTCTCCTCTTAAAACACATAAAAACTCTCTGCCTGCCAGGGTTTGTGTTATTCCAGGTCTTGTAAGTGTTTGAATGGTGTGGATTTCTTTGAAATAATAAAACTGTATTTTCTAGTTAAAATGCTATTGAACTCAGGCTCTCTTAGGGGACTTAACAGGTCTGTTTGTGTGTTTTGAAGCCGACTGTGTGTATATTTCACTCAGAAGGCTAATACAGACCCAGAAGGCTAATACTCAGTAATCTTCTACACATAAAGAAAGATTAGCCTGCTGATAGGAGAGCTGGTGATCAGCACTATTGCTGGGACATGATTTGGCCAGAGGGCTCTTGCTGTGACTACAGCCCTCTTGTGAAATTCCCCACAATGCAGTTTTTATTTCGTTAACTTGCAGGGTGAGCTCACCTTTCTGGATGTGGTTGTTCCAACCTCAGACTGACTGGAGGGCTTTGTATATGGAAGGGAGTAAGCAAGTTTTGTTTCTTAGTGTGTTAAATTCTTTAATTAGACAAAAGTCTAAAGCCTTTCCTTTTTTAATTGTAAGGAAAACACTGATCCAAGGTACAGTTTATGTTTCAAGTTGGTATAAAATGTGATTTTTGGAAAAGCTCAGTGTGATTATCTGGTCAAGTGAGTCTTGAAATATCTATTACTACCTTTATGATGCAGCAAGATGGATTTTCATAAATGAGTGGTGGCTTTAATATCTCAACTTAGTTATTCCTATTAACTTTTACAAAGATAATACGGTGCTGCCGATAATGTGTTAGAAGAGGCTCTTGCTCAAGGCCTAGAATCAATTCATGAGTCTAGGATCCGCTCTGTCATGAGGTGCCCATGGGCAGAAGACTACAGATGTGAAGCCACCAGGAAGAGGTAGACCTCTGATCATTTTAGTCAAAGATGAGTTCAAGTGCTTACTACACTTCTGCAACATTCCCTGTCCTGGACCTCCTTTTCCAGTTTTAAGAAAGATATTTTAAGCATTAGCTAAAGTAGATTTCAAATCCCAGGCAAGCTCCATCTTATCAGGGTGGACAATAATGGAGATGAGTTTGAACCAGTCCTTATACATCTGGAAAGAAAGTGGAGCATCGAGTCAGTGTGGCCTGGTTGAAGAGCACATGACTTGAATGTGAACTCAGAAATGCAGTCTCACTTTTATCAAAGACACCCTTTGAATACTGCCAAGTGCAATGAATGTTTTTTACATTAAATCAGCTTGGACAAGTCAAAGAAAGTCAAAGAATAAGAGTAGTGTATGCAATATTTTCAGGTCATTTAACCCTATGGTTGTTAAATGTTCAAAAGTGAGAAAAATATGAAGTTGAGAGGTTTACATTAGGCTAAATTCAATTTAAAGGACTTCATTTTTTGGGGGAGGGGTACAGTATTAAAATGTTCTTATTTTATGAAATTAGGCTTTAGTAGATAGATTACTGTTCTTTTATGTGTGTGTTAATGTCCTTATATAGCAAAATAATAACTTGGCCACTGGCCACTCTTTATTGATTTTCATAATTAAGAAAAACATTGATCTGTCAAACGTAAGAGTCCAGGAACCAGTGATCTAGCCTAGTCTGCTCCACATTTGCTGAATCCAGTAGTGACCTCCCCAGATAACCTCAGTCCCTTTTTATTGATCTAACTAGAACTACTAGAATTCGAAGGAGTTAGAGTGCATCTGTTTCTCATTAACACCCATGACTGAGGTTCTTCCCTTTATTCAGCAACTTAATTCTGTTCCCTGCATGATGCTATTTGTTGAAAAGTACTTCTCTTCTACCAACTGAGCTGAAGTGGCTTTTCCTGTAAATTCTGCTTTTCAGCCTTCTCCTTCCATCTGACAGACTTTCAAATATTTGAGGGTATATCCCAAGTTCACTGCTAGTTATCTTGTCTTTAGGGTAAAATTCTCTGTTTTCCTATCTTCGTGTGAAAGAAGGTTTCCCCACTCGCTGATTAAATGTAATGCTTTAAAAGAAGACAGTAAAGAGGTGAAATAACATGGTTTGGTAAAAACACGCTGAATTGTATGCGTGAAAAATGTTGAAAGCTAATGCGTTATCTATATTTTTACAACAACACCTACACACACAGTGGTAAATAGTTATTATCTGGCTCAGTTTCAGGGGAAAATGTAGAGCATGTAAAGAATCTCACACCAGCCGTGGAATGCTCTCCCATTTGACCCTGCCATTCCTTGGTTAAGCCATCTCCTTTACTGCCTTCCAAAACTTCTGCAAAGTAGATTCTTCCTATGTAGATATTTTTGAGGCCTTATATGTGTGGACCTCTAGATGTTTGCTACTCAAAGTGTCACAGAGCAGGAGCTTCTTGCACATATGCAGTCTCAGGCTCCACCTACTGAATTAGAATCTGCATTTTAACAAGATCCCCAGGTGATTCTTAGGCACTTTTGAAAAGCATTGGTCTATATAACTGCCTATTGAATATGCAGCAGTCTTTTTGAATATATGGTACACTCATGCTTATATTTATTTATAGATAGGATCTTTTAAAATTCTTTGAATTATGGTCTTATTATATCTGCCTGTTTATGACATAAACAACCTTCTAGAAACAATATGAAGACATCTGACAGAATCTTGGATTCATTAAGTGAGGCCTTTACTATTGTTAACAGATGGTCTGGAAGGGGCCATGTTGCTGCCTGCAGTGTACTGAGTAAGGGGTTAGGCCCTACACTGTTTTGGTCTGTGGTGCCTAATGTGAAACTACCGAAGACTAGCAAATCCATTAAAAGGAAAAGTACTAACCCTGGGGGAAAATTAGTGATAGCTTCCAAATATTGCAGTAGTATTAAAAACATTAGCAGTACTCTGGCCCCCTTTCAATAAAAGTTTGTTTTTTCTTCTTTTCGTAAGCTTCGGTTTGATTTTATTTCTAGCTTGACATTTAAAGTATTTAGTTTCACTTTTTTTATTCTTATCAGTTGACTTTACTGGTCTTTTCTTAGTTATAGTTTGCTTTTTAACATTGTGTTTTCATGTATAAGCTTGGGAAAAGAAGATGGAGCATTCTATCTTCCTAGGAAAAACTCAGAATTTCATTAGTGACCATCGAATGCTTTCCATGTTCTTGATTTAATGTTGAATCTTTTCAAGGGTTAGCAAAGTTTGGTAAGTTGTTGTTCATTTAAATGGATCTTTAATAAGTATTATTTAAAAGTGGATTTATAATACTTTTGATTTCTTTGATAATATGAATTTGTCCAAGTGGTACTTAAGCAAATAAACTCAGGACATGATAGATTACATGTACAGAATCCCAAATTGATCTTTCTATAAAAAAAAGAAAAAAGTATTCCTACACAGAAACATAGCGTCTGTTTACCTGGATGCTTTTGTGGTCTCAATAAAAATGTACCCCCCTTCATGCCACACACAGACGCACACACACTGTCTCTCTCTTAGGAAAGGGAATAAAATTTGGTGTATAAAATAATAATGAAGGACAGCTTGTCTTCAGAAGACATAAAGGACAGGCTGCCTTTGAATAAGAACCGAGGGCCACCTGTTGAATCGTGAAAGACGTAGCTTTAGGACAAGTTTTAAAAATTGATGTTTTTCATTGAGGTTGGTTAATATGATGTAACTTAGACCATTATATAATATAAAAATATAAATATTTCCCGAAAGTGTTGGGCAGACTGTAGATGTTAGGCTCATTCTAGAAGTTAAAGAAGACCAAAGGTACTTAGGGTACAGGCTTATCTTAACTTTTCAGAATGTGTATCACAGAGAATAGCCATGTTCTGCCTGACCATCTGTCTCCTTCTCAGAATATCAGGCTGGGAGGACCCTGCTCAGACCCGGTATGGTACATCTCATCATTTTAAAACAAAATAGTCAGTGACCTGAGAAGGTGGATTGCCTTGCTTGCAGAAGACCTGTCATATCAAGCCGTCAGAATCGCTAAAGCCACACCTGTCTTAAAAGAAAGTTAAATGATTCAGTGTGGGTATTTCTGAGCTGCAAGGAACAGGTTTTACACGTCTAACTTCTAAGGCAGCCTTTCTCAAGACAAAATGTCGCTTAGTTTTCCATTTTAACTTGCTTTAGACTCAGCATTTTAAATAAGCAAGATATCCTTCACTGACTTAACATGGATTATGAAAACTTTTTTAAATGGTCTGTCTTTATGATTATGTTCAACTGTTGTCTTTAGGTTAGATGAATTGGCTTACTATTTCTTTTATATAATTCCCTTCAAGTACCTGAAACTAAGCATAAATTATACCTCAGCTATAATGTTAGAGGGATTGGTAATAGCAATAATCTGTTTGTTTGTATTAATCTTCCTCAGATAAACAGATTAAATTATTGACATTACTTTTAAAACAACATCATACATGACTTATTTAGCTGTACTTTTAAAACCTTAATCTGTGACTGTAAAAGTTTGGCTATTTAAATATATTCCTTCATAGGATGTTTTTCCTGTTTTTATTGGAAACTCCTATTTGAATATGCAATTTATCTTGATTCTGTTCACATTGCCCTGTATACACATACAGGCTGTATTGCTTTTTGTTGCAGAGTTTCAAGCTGGAAAATTCAATTTAAAAGGAAAGATAAGTTTTTGCTTATTTGAATTTGATGATTGGATTCATAGCAGTTGCCACAAAAATCTATAGAAATGAGACTGTTCTAGTGGTGAGTTATATGCTGAAAGTTACGTGCTCCTTTTCAGCAGTACTAAATCAATTTTATAAGGAGATTAATCATCTGTTTTAGTTGTTCTCAACTTTAGTATGGATGTAAGAAATACCAGTCACATGCAGATTCCTGGGCACTACCTCTTGAGATCTGATTCAGCAGGTCTGGAAGGAGGCCCAGGAATCTGTATTTTCAATAAACAACACCGATGACTCTGATGTAGTGGTCTATGGGCTATACTTTGAGAAGTTCTGATTATTTACTGTTCTTTCCAAAGCATGGTCCCTCTTCTCTTGAAAGCTATCCTACTTGAAGGACAAGGCAAAAGTGAGAAAAGAGACTTACTAAATTTCACATTTTGGTTTTATTCATTTCTGCTTTAAAATACACATTTTGACTTTACCTTGCCTCTAAAGTCTCTCACTGATCTGACAGGAAGAGCAAGAAGATTTGGAGGAGGGGAGTAAAAACTGTAAATGTAAAACTGGGCCCAGGTGTGTACCATTTCAGGCCCATCCCTGACCAGTATGATCGAGGGGCAATTTGTGTGAAAACATGGGATTTCTGAGACATATAAAAACATTCTTCTCCTTAAGAACCTATTATGCCCCAGTCATTCATGAATTCAGAGAAAGATCTGCAGGGAGTTGGCGGCTGGAGAAGGGAAAAGGAGGAGCTTAGCTCAGATCTGATGCAAAAATTCAATGGAGGAGTGAAGGACAATCTTTACGCGATGGTGCAGAATCTTGTGAGTGTAGAATAAAAATGAAAACTTGAGGTGCAGGAATATCTGGGGAACTTTTTGGGCTGAGGCCTGGAGAACCAATAGCATGGTTACTTTTCACACAGGATCTTTCCTCCTCACAATAATCTCAAACAGGCATTTTTAGCCCTGGTTAACAGATGAGGAGACTGACACGTGGTTAGTAGGTGGCAGAGGCAGGATATAGATTGAGCCCTAGCTGACTCCAAAGCCTGTAGTCTTTCTGTTATCCCGTATCTTTGTTTTACTTTGATCTAGAATTAAAACCACCACCAACAAAAATCTGTTGCCATTGAGTCAATTCTGACTTACAACAATCCTACGTGTTTCAGAGTAGAACTATACTCCACTGGGTTTTCAATGGCTGCAATCTTAAAGAAGTAGATCAGCAGGCCTCCTGGGCTACACTGGGTGGATTCACATTGCCAACCTTCCAGTAAGTAGCCGAGCGCAAAGCAAAGCACCCTGGAACCTGATCTAGAATTAAATGGGGATAAATACTGTCAGCTGTGCTGTGTTATAGGCGTAGGAGTAAAACCAGGGCAGAGGGGCACCTGACTCTCCTTATCGAACACAGTAAAGAGTAACAGGTTACGATTATTTAACCTATTCCATATTCTGGATTCAGACAGGCTGGAGATGAAATCGTCTAACCCACTTTCTAGCTGTGTGACTTTGGGCAAGTTACTTGCACTCTCAAAACCATGGTATCTCCTGATTTTTTAAAATAGAGGTGATAATAATATGTAGCTTGAAAGATTCCTGTGAGGATTAAATGAGTTAATGCATGCAAAGTTCTTAGCCCAGTGCTTGGCACAGAGAAACTACTTCATAAATGTTAGTTATAGGCTCTAGAAAGAAGGCTGTGTTTGCAGAGATTTTAAAAATCAGTGCAGATTGAAAAATAAGAATTATTGACTGAACTTGCTAGCATGTGTATCACATATTTCCCTTCCACAGGGCTGGGGGTGGCCTTCTAGGACTTCAAACCTAGGTTTCAATTTCAGCCTCATTCTGATTCTTTTTAGGATCAATAGCAATAACTAAGAAGTCTTGTGCAATAAATTCTGAATACTTCAGGAGTTGAAAGGCAAAAATTTAGAAAGCTTATTTGCTATAAAACTTGCTATTTTTTTATAAAACTACATCTACTTCTTTACCATTAAATTGTTTTATCTAAGAGCTCTGCCTAGTTGTAAATATATGTTTTCAAGGATTGTTTTTGCATAGAACCAAATACTAATATGAAGCCAAGATCCTTTTAAACTGATTTTGAACTATTTCCTAAAGTGACTGTAATTTGGATTGTTCAATACCAAATAATGTTGTTTACTAATGTAGTGTTGTGTTACGGAACTTGGGTGAAGCTTTTAAATATACCTGTTTTATGTGGCAAATTTATTAAATGAGAAACCTTCATCTAAGAGATAGACATTTCCCAAAAAACGAAGGGGTTAAAAGCATTACTGAGTATTAGTATGTTAAATGTCCCACATATGAATTGTCTAGTCTTCCCTTAAAATCTGGAGATGTCTAAGTGTTATCAAGAGAAAAATTGCCCCTTCACCCTAATAAGTGGAAAGAAGAAGAAAAAAGTAATTTTTACATTTGGCTTCTCTGTCTTAGTAATTCCTGTTTCTTTTTCCTTGTAGCATGGGCAAGAGCTGCAGCCGCCATGCTCTTCTGTGGCTTCATCATCCTGGTCATCTCTTTCATCCTCTCGTTCTTTGCCCTTTGTGGACCCCAGATGCTTGTCTTCCTGAGAGTGATTGGAGGCCTGCTTGCCGTGGCTGGTAAGACCGTGTGTCAGGAGTCTTCATTCATGCCTTCCGTGGACATCAGTATAGTAGTCTTCTATTGCACAAAGAAGATCCGTGTCAACTATATGATCTGTTGTCAGAAAATGTGTCACCAAGTGAGAGATGTAGGAGTAACCTAGGAGAAATGTGTTTTAAGCTCTGGATCCTTTTTCTCCTGTGCCTCAGACAGTATTATATCCTCCCACCCAAGTGAGGAAGGTCATCACTTTGGGTGCTCCTGTCCCTCTTGGGTGGCCACATGTCCAGGGATGCCCACCCTGGGGGTCCGGGCTGTGTCATCCTGGAGTACAGCACTCTCCAGAGTGGTCCACAGTCTGGGCTTGGGATGTGCCCTTGCCTGTCCTCCTCACTTTGTCCTGAACAGCCCCAAGCTGAGGAGAGTGGAGTGTCACTGAATCTTTCACTTGTTGAATGGAGTTTTGTGATCTTTATGATATGGTGTGGCATGAAAGGATTTGGCAGAGGGATGGAGGAGGAACCGATCTGGAACTGCACCATCCACCAGGATAGAATCAGTGCTGGGAGATGATCCAGACACAGGCCACATGAAGAATTTTAGTTACGCAGGTGGGTGGGACTCCAATCCAGTCGGCTCATAGTGAACATTCATCAATGGAGTACCAGAACTAAGAATCTAGAAGTAAGAATTATTTGAAATTTTAGGTGGGCGACTAGCACTGGGGAAGCCTGTCAAAGGGGCAGGGTCCCAGCCACAAAGCTTGATTCACATACAAAACGAGATTTCTGAAAGAGGGGAAGAAAGAAGGTGCCAACAAGGGCAAAGCAAGGCCGGGGCATCAGGTCATTCCTCAGGATAGGAATTTAGGCTCACGGGACCAAAGCAGAAGTCCGGCTTCAAGACCTGGGGTACAAAGACAAAGTGGGAAGCTGGTCTTGGGAATCAGTCAGAAGCCCTGTGACTAGATTAAGATTAAGATTAAGGATGGCCAGTAGGAAGACCACTTTGTGCTGGATTCCCTGAGTTTAAAAGGTAAAGTTCCCAGAGCCCAGGGCCAGACAAGTGGGGGTCAGGAGGCCCTGGATGAAAGAGGTGGCCCAGAGAAGCAGGCCAGTGCAGGCACAGCCCTAGCCTTTGTGACGCATTTTGAAATTTCTCTTGATTAAAAATAAAGTTTACACCAGTGTTCCTCATGTTTCAAAGTTTGCTTTTTGCGTATAAAAACCAGAAATGACTTGGAATCACAAAAGATACAAAGAAACTTGCTGAATCCCATTCTCCATTTCTAGTTGGCTTTTGTAGTTCAAATTTGTAAGATCTTATCAAAGAAACACATTTGCTATGTCTTCATTGCATGTGTCTTAGAAGACTACATGGAAGCCTGTTTAAATTGCCATTAGAAATAATTCACTAGGACATTAATGTTAATGTAAAATTCTAGTAAAACTTTTTTGTCCATTACTCCCTTTTAGCATTAAAACATTAAGGTCTAGTAACTGTCATCTCGAGCTGACAGGGTAGCAGGAGTTATGGTTGTAAAGACAACTAGTTCCAGTGATCTTCAGCTCATTTACAGCTTAAAGCTCCTGTTTAACCCTGTGTTCTCGTTTTATAATTTCATTCTTATACCCTCCATTAAAGGATTTGACAAGTAGAATATGAAATGTATATACTCAAACCAAACCAAACCTGTTATCAAGTTGATTCCGACTCATAGCGAACCTATAGGACAGAGTAGAACTGCCCCGTAGAGTTTCCAAGGAGTGGCTGGTGGGTTCGAACTGCTGACCTTTTGATTAGCAGCCATAGCTCTTAACCACTGTGCCACCAGGGCGAAGAATAAAATGTCTGGGAATCTTCATGCATCTTAAAATAATGTTGAATGTGGTCTGCTTGAATAAGTTATTTTTCATAGCAACCACTATTTTTAATTACATATGTGTTTTTTAATGGGTTAAAATCAGAAAAATTGAGCACTGTTACAACTTAGATTTTGCAGGAATAGATCCAAACCATTGGTCCACGCATAAGAACCCGTTGCCATTGAGTCGATTCCAACTCATAGTGACCCTATAGGACAGAGTAGAACTAACTCATAGGGTTTCCAAGGCTATAATCTTTGTGGAAGCAGATTGCCACATCTTTCTCCCACAGAGCAGCTGGTGGGTTTGAACCGCAGACCTTTCAGTTAGCCAATGTGTGCTTAGTGACTGTGCCACCAGGACTCCTTCATTGGTCCACAGTATTTAATTAATTTTTGTTGGCTCATGATTAACAGGATTCCCTTGACTCCTTTCATTAGCATTGTTTAGGTGGATTCAAAGGAGCCCTGATGGTACAATAGTTAAGCACCAGGCTGCTAACCAAAAGATCTGTGGTTCGAACCCAGCAGCAACTCCAAGGGAGAAAAGACCTGGTGACCTCCTCCTGTAAAGATTATAGGCTGGGAAACCCTGTGGGGCAATTCTACTCTGTCCTATAGCGTTGCTATGAGTTGGAATCGACTCAATGGCACACTACAGCAACAACGATTGGATTTAACACCTATTAAAGGCAAAAACAGTTGTGGAATAGGGAATTAATCTGTTGTTACCATGCATTCATTCATTCATGCATTCATACTTTGGGATTCCCCCCCCCGCAGCTGTGTTCCAGATCATCTCCCTGGTAATTTACCCAGTGAAGTACACTCAAGAATTCCATCTTCACCTCAACGCCAGTGTCACCTACATCTATAACTGGGCCTATGGCTTTGGCTGGGCAGCCACAATCATCCTCATCGGTTGTGCCTTCTTCTTCTGCTGCCTCCCCAACTATGAAGATGACCTCCTGGGCAATGCCAAGCCCAGATACTTCTACACATCTGCCTAACGTGGGGAATGAGAGCAAAAGAGAATCGCTGCTGCTGAGGTGGATTCCAGAGAATGAAACTGTTTTCCCCAGACGATTTTGAACATATGTTTGGTAGTGATATCATAGTGTTCATATTATGAAACTAGTAAAAAATGTTAACATAAATTGAGAGAAAATGTTTCCTAAATGGTATTATAGTTTCACATTCATCTTTTATATATGTTTTATGGAGTTAAACAAGGCTTCCTTCTTTTAACTAATTACCTATCATATACCAATACTGAAGGAGTCCTGGTGGCACAGTGGTTAAAGCGATTGACTGCTAACCATGAAAGGTCAGTGGTTCGAAACCACCAGCAGCTCTGAGAGAGAAAAATGTGGCAGTCTGCTTCAGTAGAGATTTACAACCTTGGAAACCCTATGAGGTTGCTATGAGTCAGAATCGACTTGATAGCAGTGGGTTTTTATAGTTTTTATACCAATACTGCCTTATGTCTATTCATAACATTAATATTGTATTTTAAAAGAATCTGAATATGAAATACCATTTTGTTTAGTAAAAATGAGAAGGCTTCCAAGTTTTCACCAACTTGATTAAGTTACTGTTTTCACCAGATTGAATGGACTGGACTTCTTAAGGGATAAGGAGAAGAGGGAGATATTGGATAAAATTGTCAGTGGCCAAACATTCTAAAAGAAATGCAAAAAATAAATATTTTTCCAACCTTCAGCTATTGAAAAAAGTAAAATAGTTTCCTAAATGCATATCATTTGTGAGAATTTCTGATTAATATTGTTGAGTCACTGAATTTTTGCTAAACTTTACATTGACTTGGTATGTTATCTAGGAGGGTATTCTTTTATGGCCAAACCCTGTTGCAGTACCAAAGCTTCCTCTGGGAATAACATGTTAAGATGAGCTTTTCTCTTTTAAAGTGGTTTGGAGGGTTGGGGTGTGGGAAAATGTTTTATTGATAAATCTGTACTGTTTTGTGTCTGTATGTTCAGAACCAGAGTAGACTGGATTGAAAGATGGACTTGGTCTAATTTATCATGACTAATACATGTGATTAGGTTGGGCAGTAAAAATTGTTCAGAAAGTGTCACCAAAGTGTAATTAAAACAATCAAAGGAGAAGAAATCACCAGGTTTGACTTGGCTCTCATCATATAGACACAGCTTCTGATAGGCTGCACCTGTGGGCAGAAACCTAACTATAATTAAAAACCTGGTCTTCTTGGCAAACAGATTTAAAACTTCTGATGTAAAACATGCCACAGGAGAATTCAGGGATGTGTAGTTTCTCTGAATGGAAAATATATGATATATTGGCTTTATTGTTATTGGTCTTTTTTATCATTTGTATTAATGCACATAATTAAAACTAAGCTATTTTTATAGCAAATTATTATTTTTTAAGCTGCAGAATAAGTAATTACAAGTTTTCATTATGAATTTTTCCCAATAAACCAGGTATTCGAATCTTGTTTCTATTTAGTAGTTTTTTGTTTTTAAATCTGGGGATGGGAATTTTTAAAATATGAGTGGGTTGCATGAACACTGGATAAAATGAAAAGTTGCTTTTTCTCAGTTTTAAGAGTCTTGCTCATTTTATGTGTCCAATAACAATTTTTGAGTGAACATTAATGAATTCTAGTTGTCCATTGCCAGAACTGCTTCCTTAATGAACAATGCCCCATACACAAATATCAAACAATTATCTGTTCAGTGCTGCTTCTAAAGGCAAATAGACTAAAAGATTTTGGGCAGGTCTAGATACCCCCGGGAACATTTGTGCTGTTTATCTGAAGGTTCATCTCTCTCTCATCTGCCACTGCACAGCCTTGTCTTTGTGATGGGTTCTTCTTCCATTTAGGTGGGTAGGTATAGTAGTCTCTTTACTTCTTTTTCCTTCCCTTATTCACCTTCCTACTTGATTTTGTTTTTGCACCACTGTTATTAGGTTGATTCTACTAACGTATAAAAATGTGAATGTTCCTGGGTGATGTAAATGGTTAACACGCTCAGCTGCTAACCAGAAGGTTGGAGGTTCAAGCCTACCTAGATGTAACTCAGAAGAAAGGCCTGGTGATCTACTTCCAAAAACTCAGCCAAATCAGCCATTGAAAATGTTATGGAGCACAGTTCTACTCTGACACGCATAAAGTCGCCATGAATTGGAGTTGACTCCATGACAACTGCTATATAAATCCAAACCAAACCCGTTGCCATCGAGTCAATTCCGACTCATAGCGACCCTATAGGACAGAGTAGAACTGCCCCATAAGAGTTTCCAAGGAGCGCCTGGGTTTCCAATTGGTGTGTAGTATATATATAAATGTGAAGAAGGGGTGCATCCCCTCAGTTTGTCCTTGGCAGTGAATTTTTCTTGTATGCCATTGTAGAATACAATGTGAATGTTCTCATCACAAATTCAGAGGAATGTAGTCTGGATGGTTACAACAGAATTAAAAAAACAAAACAATAAAAACCCTATTCGATGACTGATAGGGAGCCTGGTGGCACAGTGGTTAAGAGCTTGGCTGCTAACCAAAAGGTTGGCAGTTCGGATCCACCAGCTGCTCCTTGGAAAGCCTATGGGGCAGTTCTAGTCTGTCCTATAGGGTCGCTATGAGTTGGCATCGACTCGACGGCAATGGGTTTATTTACTTTTATGACTGGTAGAGGATGTAATGTGATAATTAATGATAAAAATACCATCTTCTAAAATAATAGTACAATTAATTTTAAAAAATAGTGGATATCTAGAGAAGAAGAAGTTGAGTTTCCCATTATCCATGAAACTGATTCTCAGAATACAAGCTACTCTAAAGCATGCACCCTTGTCTTTGAATTTTTTCCCTATCTCTCCAACTTTCCTTCCCCTCCCTAATCAATAACACAGTATATCTTAATGATGCAAATTTAGGAAAAATGGCACAACTTCCTGGAACCAATGAGCTGACATAACAGAGGCATTTCAACCTGAAACATTATGATGAAAATATACTAAACATTATTAACTTGGTTGGAATGTTCAGCTTCTTTCAGCCTTGTCCAAGTATAGAGATCCTCTATCCCTTGTTGCTTTAGAGTCACTGGGACAAAACCACCAGGTGCTGTCAAGTTGATTCCAACTCATGGTGACCCTCATGTGTGTTGGAGTAGAACTCTGCTCCATAGCTTTTCAATAGTTGATTTTTTTTTTTTAAAAGTAGATCGTCAGGCCTCTCTTCCAAGGTGCCTCTGGGTGGCTGGAACTGCCAACCTTTTGGTTAGCAGCCAACCACGTTAAGTGCTTGCACCACCCAGGGACTCCTATGTCATAAATAGAGAAGGAAAATTCCAGAGAATCTGAAGGGCAGTGAAGAATTCGACTGAGAAACCATCTGAAGACCAACAATGCATTGTGTTAGATTTCCCATGATAAAGCTGAGGTGGTTTTTACCTCTGTAATTAAACTGAGTCCCCACCCTTTGCCCTTCCTTTTGAATAAACAGTTCTAGGTTCCCAAACAATTATCTCACGCTCACACTACAAGTAGCCAGATATGCTAAGTGCCATTTATGGTTGAACAAAACAAAGAACTAATATGTCAAGGTCTTCCAGTTGGCTCAATAGCTGTAGAGTATAATTATTTTTAGCTTCAAAACCATATACTCCAGGACTGTCAATAAAATTTACTAGGCTTTCCTTTTATAAAGGAATAGAAGCAATGCAAGGATATTGTCATAGTACTTAATTAGGTTGACTTTTATTGTGAACTCCCACTGAAAGACTTCCCTATTAATATAATAAACGTCACTGCTGTGTTGACTTGTTTTGTTTTTTAGGCATACCTGAAGAAGGCATATTTGAGTCCTTTCCCAGGTTTGGCTTCTCTAGCTGTGTAGCTGTGGGCAATTGGCCTTCCCACGGGTCTCAGTATCCTCATCTGTAAAATGATTGCAAATGATCCCTTTTTCTTCAAAATTCTCTGATTCAATGCCTTTATCTATATATCTGTTCATTTGTCTATTAGATATGTTGGGAATGGGAAAAAGAGGTGATGCTATAAGTTTTCTGTGTTTTCAAATTTATTTTCATTAACTAGAGGCAAAATCTTAATATTGTCATCAAAAAATTTTTTAATTAAAAATTAAAGAATACTGCTTTAGGTGGAAGAACTGCTAAACAAGTGGATATTGACTCTACCATGAGCTTAAGTAACCATAAAGCTTAGAAGAAAAAATTGTTGTCTCCTAAGGAGCTTCTGATTCAAAATGGTAGAGTGGACTCTATTAAATACAACTTTTCTGACCAGTATAGAAAAAATGTAGAATAGTAAATACAAGAGGGAATAAATCCATAACAAGAGACGGATTTGTTAGTTGACCAGAGATTTTGGAAGGTGAAAAATGAATGACATTGTCAACAATGCAGAGTAGCCACCACTGAGAACAAACTCAAGAGTTGGCTGCTGGCAGGTTACAACTGTGCTTCTTGGTAAGTGCCAGAGAGGTGGCAAGCTTGGGCTTGGCAGGAAAGAGTGGGAATGGGAAGGGAGGAAGGTATAAAGCAGGAGGATTACTTAGAGGTCTGCTCTATGAGGAGTTTGCCAGATGGCCTGCCTCCCCTTCCTCCCACCGCACCCTCATCCCTGACTTAAACTGAGCAGAACAACTGGCTACAAGGTGATGAGGTCATGAAGATGATAATAATGATAGCGACAATAAAAACACTGCTTACACAAAAAGGCTCTGTTCCTAAGTGCTTCACAGGTATTAACCCACATAGTCCTTACCTTGACCCTCTGATATTCAATTATTCCTAATTTTTTAGAGAAGAAACAGAGGCATAGGAATGTGCAGTAACTTTCCCAACGTCAGACAGCTAGTAAGTGACAGCAACAACAAAAGATACAGAAATGTCTTGGTATTGTTTGGTGCACTAGGACATAGTATGGTAGGAATTATTACCCTCAGTGGATTCCCAGGCTTTCGCCTCCTCCCATCATATTGGTGTGACTCCCTCAATCTCTCACTTCTCCTTAATCCAGGGAGGGGCATGCCTTGACTGTGTT